CCCCTGCCCGCCGTGCCGCCCGCCCCGCTGCCGCGGCGTGCCCCCACCGGGCGGCCCCGGTGCGCCTGGGCCGGGGGTGGCGGTGGGAGGGAGTGTGGGGAGTGCTGGCTGCGGCCCGCGGGGCGGCCGCGCTTCCGTCTCCGCCGCTGCTCCGTCGGCTTCGGCTTCCTCATCTCTAAAGTGGGCATGGCTCCGTCGGCCTCCTGGAAGCGCCGGAAAACGCCCGATTACAGTGAAAGCTCTGGGATAGAACCTGTATTTCTGGCTGACAGTTCTATCGCTTTCTCTCATCGCTTTCGATAGCGGGAAGGGATGGCCGTCAGGATATTACGTAAAAGTTCATCGAGCCGCAGCACGGTGTGCTGGCTGGCACTGTCTCTGCACCGTGGTGAAAAGTTCCTTTGGTATTTCACTTGTACGCAAACTTTAGAAAGCCAGTTTGGGAGAATCCTTGTTGAACGTACCTGATGCTTTGATCAAAGCTATTTAAAAAAAATAATACTGACCTTTAAACCTAGGTGTTCCCTTGACATTTGGACTTGGAACAGATGCAGCAAAGGTATGACCAGTTGTGAGAGAAGGAGGCAGTTTCCTGTTGACTGGTGCTTGTCTTTCCATTTAAGTTATATGCAGCTTATGGAGTATAAATATTTTGCTTCAGATTTCTCAGAGGAACAGTGTGATCATTCAGAGCGTTGTGTGACCAGTCTTGTAGCTTGTGAGTCTGCCTGGTCTGAATGCTCTTGACAACTGAAGAGCTTGTGAAAAAATTGAGAATTAGTGAATGAAACCTTGGAGAAACTCAGCATGAATGCAGTCATAGAAATGTAGAGCTCTTAGGTGAGGCATTTATTTGGTTAAAAAGCAGTTTGTAAAATGGCAGTGTGAGATGCTTCATGCTAAGAAATAGTTGCTGTAGAAGAGGAGATTCACAGCCCTCTATGCTTAGCTCTTAATTCATGTTTCTGTGTTGGAAACAGTAACTACAGGGCTTTTTGTTTGAAAACTCTATACTGCTGGTAAGGAAACTGCAGGCTGAGGAGAACTACTTCTAAAACTAATGTGACAACACTTCTAAAACTAACATGACAACAGCTAGGTGAAACTTCCTACTAAGCTGATCCACTCAAAAAAACCTGGGAACTTCGGGTGGGAAGAAGAGAGCCCTTTTGGTCCCAGATCCAGCTCTTTTTCAGAAATAATGCTCTTCTATTTTGGTAGAATAGCTGATATGATTAGCACTCTCTTTCTGAGAAGTCTGCACGTAAAGGTGAGCTATATGCCGCACGCACAGAGACATGGGAGGGGGTGTATGGTTTTTATTGTATGTAGGTCTGCTGGCTGATCAATATGAACTTGCACTGAATCTCCTGCTGATCTCAAAGCAGCAGTTAATCTTCACTTGCCTGTGCTATAGGGTAAACTTAAGTATTACTCAAATATGTTTCTTGTGTAAATGGAAAAGATGGGCAAAAGCAAGCTGCATCAGGTTTTGTTGAGGTCAGAGAAGTTCTCTTGCTTCATAGCTCAGGACAAGTTAAAGATGCAACATGTGCCAACTTCCCTGAGAATAAGTAGAGAGATTAGTCACAAGTTGAAGCAGATTGAATCATATTTGGCTGTTTTCCCTTTTTCCACCCTGTGCAGTTTAAGTGTTGTCTAGACATAAACTAAACAGGCAGGACTGTGATGGTCATCTTAGTTCTTTAGCATCTCTTAAGCTGTTTTTAGAAGAAAAAGGTGTAAATGTTGAGTGGCTGTAGGACATAGATAAATAAGCAGAACTCACTAAGAAGTCTTAGGTAACTGTAATCTGAATTCTGAGTGTGACTTACTGGTTTGTAGGAGGGAGTTTCTAAGCTCGTTTCAAATGACTTGTTGCTGGCAGGCATCCATTAGTGTTTTTAAAAATATATAAAGAGTTAAAATGCTGATTGGTTTTACATTACGTATGAAGCTTTCTCATGTAAGAAATTCCAAGTTCATATTCTTGATTTGATGCATTAGGGTAGCGGTAAGTGTAGGTGCTCATTAGTCATTTTGAAGTAACAAAGGCAGTGGGATCCCTTATAAACTTTGCCTGTAGCTGATTCTCAAGACTAAATGAATCTGATGGTAAACTGATCGCTTTTTTTTCCAAGTATTTAATTTCAAACAAAAATGGGAAACTATCTCTTTAGGGTATGGTAATGCACTTATTGCTTAAAGACTTGATTTATTGCACCAAGCATTACTAGGTTTTTTTTTTGTTTTTTTTTTTTTTTTTTTTCTGTGTATCCTGTATCTTCAGTATGGAATCTGGTAGTAACCTTTGTGAGGAAGCTGTATCGTGTATCTGTGTTTCTTGGCATATGTATCCACTGCTTATAGGGTTGATGTGTGTAGCGTATGGTGCAAACCAGTCGAAGGAATTAGCAGTCAAATTCAGCTTGCCTTTCTTGCTCCCTGATCTGTCTGTCTTCTGAGAATGGGCGTGTGAAAGCGTGGGCTCTGCATCATTGGTGAAGGACACAGATACATGCATGTAAGTATCTGTATTGCAGATCAGGATACTTCTGTTTCTGGTATGTGTCTGTACACTTTGCCTGTTTGGGAAGAAAACGTAGATAACAAGGAATCAAGGAGAAATGTATGCCTAAGTGAAGCTGTGTAGATGTGTACTCTTGGATCTGTGGCTTGGCAACATACAAGCAAAAATACTGTTTTCTAGAGTAGTTGAATCTATCCTGTTTTGATAGTTGTATTCAGTAACAGGCTCAACTGTGCTTATTCTGCATATCTGTCATAAGAGCCAATTTTTTTTTTTTGTAGTCTAATTCAAAACTCAAGCTAGGAAAAGCAAATATGCTACAACGTGAGGAAATGGTACAGCCGGATTGCAAAATATAGTGGTCGAGTTGGAGCAAAGATACCCTAAATTGAGAGGCCAGTGTTGTGCATCACTGTTGCAAGGAGGAGGGGAAGAGAGGAGGCTGCCACGGCGCTTCCCCCGGTTGGAATGCTTCTTCAGCCCCACCACATGCGCAGAAGGGAATGAAGTCTTGGCTCTGGCAGCCGGGGAACTTTGCCAGTGAGTTAAGAGGAGCCAGGACTGTACCTTGCTTGGGGTGATGGGCTCATACCTACAGAGGTTGTCTGTCAAAGTCAGGCTCATTTACACAACAGTTCACTTAATAGGTATTCGATTTCCTGCTTTGTGTACATAGTTACAGAAGTAGGTCATAAATACATAGCTCCATGTAAGTCTTCTTAGGAGGAATTTCTGAGATGGATACTGTTTCTTAAACCGAATTTAAGTACTAAAATATATGTTGAGAACCTACTTTTCTCATGTTGCTCTAAGTTACACGTAGTTTCTTGGCTACCAGAAGCTTCATTCATACACTTGAGGTTTTTGTCAAAATACTGCGTGACTTGTTACTGAATGTGCTTCCAGATATCAGCAGTTCTTAAGGGCCCTGGCTCTTAATAAACAGACAGTGGTGACAGAACTGGACCTGCTGTTCCTGGATAGTCTTTTCTTCTTCTCTGATACGATACTATAAAATACTGACTTCAGTATGCTTGGTCTTTGGAGTGTTTTACAAGGCAACTGTTACTGTTGAATGAAAGCTTGATTGATGTCACCTTTATGCAAAGACATAAAATCTGATTTGGATTGAAAGACTTTGGTATGAAGGTTCTTAACAGCTAACACCTACACCTCTCTTTTGAAAATAATTGGGAAGCTTCATCATATCTGTAGTGTCTAGCTAAAGCTTTGCAGAGATCCGTGAAAGTGTCTTTAATTCTTCATAAATGTGCAGCACAACCTATGATGGCATGAAATTTTCTCTGGTTCCTTGTGCTTTTGCATTTGAAATGCTGACTCAAGATACAGACATCTTTGCAGTTTAAGTGGGAATATTTTAAAGGCCCATAGCTAATGGTCTGATGTTTCTTAGACCACCAGATTGTTCAGTCTGGAAAAGGGGAGACTTGAGATGACCTTATTGCTCTCTACAGCTACCCTTCAGGAGGTTGTGGTGGCGTGGGAGTCAACCTCTCATGTAACTAGCATTAGGACCTGAGGGAATGGCTTCGAGTTGCACTAGGGAGATTGAAGTTGGATGTTAGAAAATACTTCTCTGGAAGAGTCGTTAGGCATTGGAATGGGCTGCCCAGGGAGGTGGTGGAGTCACCAACCCTGGAGGCGTTGGAGAAATGTTTAGATGTTGTACTGAGGGACGTGGTATAGTAAGAAATATTGGTGATAGGTAGATGGTTGGACTGGATGATCTTAGAAGTATTTTCCAACCTTGGTGATTTCTATGATTCTTTTCTGTTCTAGGTTGATGACTGGAATCTAGGAGCGCTTAAGTGTTTCCTACCCTGACACAGCTGAGGTGGCCTTACAGCCAGTAGTTAGCAGAAACAATGTAACTGCAGTCCTGTATCTTACTTTGTTCACTACTTGTTTATTCTTACTTCTTTTATAACTCTTACAATCCCCTTTGCATTATACTCTAGTGTTTTGAAAACTATACTGGTAGACCACTGATTGCCAATTAAAGATAGCGTTCTACTGGGCCACCTGGTTGTAGGAGCTCACAATCTGTTGCAGAGGGCAGAACCGTGCTTTTAACTGATAATGAGGTGATAGTGCAGCAGGCTTGCGAATTGAGTTCGAGAACACCCCAGATAATGTCTAAAATAAGTGTTCTTCTGAGTGCAGTTCTTTACTTTCTGTAAATAGTTTTTATTGTGTAGGTGAAAAGTGAGGAAGAGATAGTCAGGCTTGATGAGTCTGATTATTTTGCTATCAGTTCATGTAGATGGTATGGGTATCACGTTGTCTTGAAAGGTAGACATTTTAGAAAGTACCTTCAAAGGGAAAGGTGGTAGAAAGTCTGTATCTTCTCCATTCCTCTCCTCCTTGAGTTTTTGATAATGCTACATGACTTCCCTTTAAGGTACAGGGAAATGCTTTTAGCTTCTAGTTTGTCTAATTATTTATTTGACTTATTCAAACATTGGGTGACTGATGTTTTCAACAGAATGTAATTAAAGCAGGCAGATTCTGTATGGTCACGTCTAGCTCTTTCTTCTCTCCTGTGAGAGCTTCAATTGTAACTAGTGCAGTTCAGTGTGCTCTTTCTTTTGGTGCTAATGGAAGTGACTGTAGGGATGTGCAGTAAAATGAGAAATTCTTTGGAATGCTGTTGCAGGTACAGCTTTATAACTGGTCTGAAAACAAGCTCTAACAAGGTTTTTGTCTGGGCCTGATTAAAAATGGTACTTGCTTACTTGTGAAAACAACTGAAATGAGACCTAGCTGTACATTTGTAGGACTTGAGCATTCCTGTTACAATCTTGAAGATGATATTGTGTAGGATACTCAGTTACTCAGGTCTCCTCAAATGTGGTAAAATGTCAAGAGCAGCTCAAAATAGAATCATAGCATAATTTAAGTTAGAAAAGACCATCGCTGTCAAGTGGGCTGTCAGCCTGACCTACTGAGGGCCGTTACTAACCCATGTCCCTTAGTGCCACATCCAGGCATCTCATAAATACCTCCAGGGGTGGAGACTCCTACTTCCCTGGGCAGCCTGTTCCAGTGCTTTACCACCCTATCCATGAGGAAATTTGTTCCTAATGTCCAGTCTAAAGCTACCCTGGTGCGATCAATAATGTTACTTTAACTTGTTCTGGCTCATGGAGAAAAGAGCCTGCATAGAAGCTGAATGTTTCCAAGTTTTGGCAAAGTAGAATGGAGAAGGTACCAGTGGTTTAGGTTGGCTTAAATTCACTAGATTTCTTGAGGCTGGAATGTGGATGAATTGCTGGCACCATGGGTAGTACTGCTGTACCACAGCATAAGACCTTAATGTGAAGTATGATTGTACAGTAGAGTGTGCAGGACGTGCTCAAATTTATTCTATTCACAAAATATACATCCTATCCAGAGAGGAGCAAGACTGAATAAACACAAGGAATGAAAAATACGAATTTGTTGCATGAATCCTAGCTCTCTGCAATCCTGTAGAAAGGGGACGTGGGGAGGGATAAAATGTACAGTTTAATTCTTTGTTGGGTTTAATTCAAGCTACATTCATTTTCTATGTTTTTTTCTAACTTATTCTCAGAGCTTCCCTTTGCACAACAGAACGTGTAGATTTTGCATTCCACAGGGTGAACTGCATGCAGTGTGTGACTTAATCCCTGATGGATGAAGGGGACAAACTGAAGAGCTCTCCAAATAGAGTTAGCCCGTGTCTGTACTTTTGTCATTTAGTGTTAAGCTGATTGCAGTAATGGCTTCAGAACACTGGGTGCTTGTGAAGGAGAGGCCGATTGAACTCATGTTTGTGATTTGGTAGCAGACTGCTTAGCATGTACAGGAAGCTTAAACATTTTGCCAGAGCTTATGTGCTTGCCTGCATGAAACTTGCTGCCTCTCAAGTTCTCAGAAGCGTTGCATTTTTTTGAGGAAACATTTGTGTTGCTCCAGGGTTTATGGGTGTCACTATCATCGTGGCTCCTGGCTGCTTGTTGATGCTGTATTTAAAATTGTTTCCTCTTTCTTCTCCTGAGGTGGTGCTTGTTAAGTGAGTTTTCCCCTATCCATTAATCTTGTCCAGTCTTGATCATGAAAGATGGCAGACAGAAATCTAAGTTAACATACCCCAACTTTGTTTGCCTGTCCTGCTTCAAATGGTATGTTAGATTCAGACTTGTTTTTGAGGGTGTAATGTAGGTTAAACTCGAGCTCTTAAAGAGAAGAGATCAGAATAAGTAACCTCTCTTCTAATTGGTTCTACACTCATTCATATATTTGGCTTAAGAAATGTTGTATTAATTGATTGTTTTTGCTTCCTGCCGGAATGTGAACAGTCAGATTAGGGATGGGTTTTCCACTGAAGTTCACAATTGATACAATATTAAGAAATTCTTATTGTTTTATTCCCCTTTGTTAGTATAGTATCTTGTATTCAGAGATCTAGTCAGTGTTTTTGCTTAAGTCAGAGCTCGAATTACTCATGGCTCTTTCAGGACAAATATTCTCTTAAATCTATAGGAATCTTCATGTTTTAATCGGATCTCTTTGAAATGACTAAAAGTGGCTCTCTATAAATATAGGAGACTTTCTGTCCTATTCTCTGCTTGTGTTTCTCTATTTCTGCAAGACATGCATGAAACTTTGATCGCTGTGAAGGTGCCTATGTTGCTGATGTTTATAAAGCGTGAGTGACTAGGGGTATGAAGCAAGCTGGAATTAGCCTCACAATAGGAAACCTAATAAGGCAGTTCACTTAATTGTCTCATCTATTGAATTAATGTTTGTGCTGGATATCAAATGCTATTTAATTCTGATTGTCACGCATCTATATATATACTTCTGAATGTTTAGAATTTCATACCAAACTGTGCCGTCAGCTGGGCAAAGGGCAATGATGTAACAGTACTTGAGTGTACAGATTCTTGTTTTGGTGATGGAATTGATGTATTTGTGGATGAACACTGTGCGTTAATATCTCATTTTGTTAAGTGACTGGACCAAAGTACTAGTACAACTAACAGGTGAATGAGAAGGGGTAAAGCCTTGAAGTGGAAGTTTGACTAGTATGCCATACGCTTGTCTTCAACAGAGGTCAGACTTCACTTAATACCTGTTGCTGCGATGACTGGTCTGTAAAAGCCTCGTGAGTCTCAGCAAAAGCTGGATGTGAGGTCTTAGTTTAGAGGAGTTTCAGAAGTTGAATTTAGAAATGAGGCTTTTTATTTGGCTTTTGTCCACCTCTGTCACAACTGAAAAATTCTCATCAAAGTACCTGTGTTGGCTGTCTCTCCGTGGGCATGTAACTGTCTAGCATAAATAACCCTTATAGGATGTGATATTGTGGATTAGTGTGGACTGCTGCATAACAGTGTGAGCCAGTGTAAATTGTAAATTGACCTTTTTTGTATGTGAGTGAGGAGAAGTTAGGCTTTCATGACTGATAAGTATCTTGTCGTGTAAGAGTAGCTGTTGGAAACTGGCAAAGCTAAATCAAAACATCTAGTCTAAGTAGTTTGCTCTCATCTACAATGCTGTCAAACTGGCTTTCTTTTCTTTCAAAAAAACCCTGGAATTGGTTTGGTGTACTAATCTTAAAACAGGGTCTAACTTGTTTGGTTTAGTTTTGAAGTGTGAATGAAATGTAATTGGAAATATCGTGATATAATAGAGATGCTAGCTGTAAGTCTCCTCGTCTAAGTATTACATTCCAAAAGCCTGGAGGAAAAAAAAAAAAGAGAAAGTTAAATTTGCTTTTCAAACTCAAATCATAGGTTTACTTAGCATGCTGCTGTGATGCTTTGGTATTTTGCAGTCAAACTTCTTTTATCTTGCTGAACTGCTAATAGTCTCCATGCAAGGTTTAGACTGTATGTGCATGGCTTCACAAATCTTGCTGAAAACAGAGGTTAATATCTTCAGGATGAAGGAAATTGTTGAACTATGGGTAGCTGGTAAGTATGCTTCTTACGAATATTTGAACTTATGTTCACTAACACTTCTTCTGCTCTTCTTTTTGAAAGGCCCTTCCTTCTTCCATGATGATAGTAGCTGTGTACTGCCCAGTAATAGCAGCGCTCTTTATCGTTTTGAAGATGGTGAACTACCGTTTGCACAGGGCACTGGATGAGGGAGAAATTGTGGAGAGGAATGCCAATGAGCGTATGGACAGGGGTGCAAAAACAGAACAAAGCAGTGCTTCAGCCAAGAGGAAAGACAGCAATGGGCCCAGGTAAGGTCTCTGTCAATGTTTGTGTACTGCTCGAAATGTTTAAGAGTTATGTCTTTATCAGATGTGTAACTGGAATGGTGGATGAAAGAAACACTCAAGAATATGGATGCTGACTTCTGTGATTTTTGAAAGACTGAATAAGTCTAATTAAAAAAAAAAAAAAAGCCTTTTTACATTTTAAGTTTGAAATGATGATTTTATGTCAACTTTCTGGTTCCTTTTTTTTTTTTTTTTTTTTTTAAAGGAGTTGGAAGATGTTGGAAGCACTGAGACAACAATGTGGAAAATGTGTGCTCTTTAGGTTGCTAAATACATGGTGAATGCAACCAGAACTAGTAATGTTATTTCAGCAGTAGAGATGGTTTTAAAAATCTAGCTGTCAAATACTTACTGAAGTTTTTAGTGATAAAAGAAGTGTCTAATCTGAATTTAGTTTGCTTAGTTTTACAAAGCTGGTCACATACAATACTTCACTCTAGTTGTAGGCTTGATTCAGGAGAACACTGTCCTGTGAACCTGAAATTCTGAAATTGTTCAGCTCAGTAGTGAAGATGACTCTGAAATATTGTCAATGGGAAATTATCACTTCCAACAGATCTTTGCTTTTGCCATCATCAAAAGAGATTTCCCTTCTCTGACCAGGCTATGTAGAGGAAAAAAGAGCAAAAGATTACTCATCAGCAAGGCTGTTTGAAGTCAGTATGTATTATGAGCTGTATTATCAAAGCCTCTGCCAAACTCCACGTAACTGAGGACCTCTTAACAGTTAGACCACATGAATTTGAGTCTTGAATTGTTAGTTTTTTAAAGACCTTTCCCTTTCCTTTGTGTTTCTGGCTATTATTCACGAATTGCTTTCAGAGTGAGGGAATTGGTATACTGTCCTACCGTGTTTTTTTTAGTTTTTAAAAGGAAACAGAAAAAAGACCAACCCAACACAAAAGCCTGAAACTTTTAAATGGAGGCACATGCTATAAGGAGCTGTAATCAACAAAAGCTTCTTACTCTGTCTGTCAGGATGTTTAAAAGTTGATGTGGTGGTATTTAAAATGTCCGGGATAGAAGTGAAAGGACTTCCTTGTGCATATGGAGTAGCTTCCACAGAGTGAGTCTTATGTTCTTCTGTATCTGTGCTCAGCTTTAGTATTATTAGCAAAATCTGTCTTCATTTCCTTTAAAGCTGGTATACAGTAACTTCTTGTATCAATCATTTATAACCTGACCATCTTTCCATTCAGTGTTTGGTAACTGAACCCACTGATTTTAATTGTAACTCCTTTTAGATCACCATACTTCCTACTAAAAATGTATTGTTCTCTTTTGGTGCAGTGCTACCCTAAATGTATGCTAATGCCTATTCTGCTTAACAACATTCATGAAAGTAAACTAGAAGTCTTTTCTGCTTAAATGCAGCCTTGCTACTGCATATGTTAGATGTGATCCGTAGACTTTCTTCTTCGTTTTGTTTCTAAGCTGTGTAGGTTTTGCTTCCACAAGGGTTTCCAAGGCTTGGCAAGGACTTCTTTGTACAGGTATTCTGAATTACTTGTGGCTGTTTTGGAAGTTCTGTTTTTTCTGAGGACCAGCTGGTGTGGGCCAATTTACTACATTATGAGTATTTGTGAGCTCAGATGTTGAGCTTAGTTTGGCGTGCATCCTGCTTGCCGACTGAAGTTTCGTTTACTTTCATATGATCCGTGTTCCCACTCTCAGGTCTCTTAACTGGAACTGGGAACAAGGTCAGTGCAGAAATTACAAAGTTACTTTTTGGTCAGCGGGATGTGCAGTGTATTCTAATCTTTACCTGGAAGCTCACGAGAACTTTGGGGTAATGTTCAAACCAGTAGAGGAGATACAGGGCAAGGTTTTAGTGTACTAAGTTAAATCAGAAGAGTAGTAGAAAATCTTTTCTGATGAGTGTGTGTATGTGGGGTTTTGTTTAGTTTTTAATTCTGCCCTTGTAGCACAGAGTGGGCATAAGGGTTTTTTTTACCACATGCAGATCCACCCACTTCTCGTGCAATTGCTGACTTCATACTTTTATGGTAGTGTGGTGTTAGTTATGTTTTACCTCTTGTGAGGTTTCATTAAAACAAATGAATAATGGGAATACAAATTCCTAATCCTGCACTGAAAGGAATTGTGCTGGAGTCTGTTAGGTATCAGTGGATCCACGTACATATCTTTTTAAACATTTAACTTGCAGTCTTGCTTTTGGGATTATGAATGTCTTCCTTATTGTGTCAGTACTAGCAGAAACCAGTAAGTGAGGAGGTTAATGGTGAGGGTTTTTAACCCCTTACCTAGCTTACCAGAAGATGTTGTCTTCCTAAAGGATGTTCTTCCTATATTTCTAAATCACGTGTACTTCAAGAGCAATGTAGTGGTTCTGAAGGATAGAAGGAAGCAAAAAGATAGTCTACTGACAAAGGAAAGTGTTCAACAGATGAAGAATGAGACCCTTCCTCTGCTTTGTCCTGATGTCAGAACTGTTCTAAATTCTCCCTGAAAGTCATTGTCTGAACATTAGACCTCTTCAGCTAATCAGCCTAAGTCAGTTATTAAACTTCTGAATTCCCGTAGGCTAGCAGTCTCTTCAGACTTTCAGTTGGACTCTGACATGCTCACAGTTGCATGTAGTAAATGTGCAGGTTCTGGATGCCTCTTCTATTGCAATTTTGGTTGTACATAGCTGGGCATAGTTTACTCAGTCTTCTCAATTTGTCTGGTTACTTCTGTTTCTTTGATTACTTGCAATCTGGTAAGTGTAGCACTTGCTCTGGGGTATGAAGTCATCAACCTGTTAGAAACTGGTTGTTGGACTTAATAGCAGGAACAAATGGCTACTATACTATAATGGCAGCAGACAACTGCTGGGGCTCTTGGCTACAATAGCATTTAGAATCTCCTATTCATACAGTGGTTAAGCCTGGAAGTCTGTACTTCCTGCTTTTTTCCTGCAGACACTTTTATTGTTGTTTTGTTAGTAGCTTTTGTTATAATCCATTTGTTTGAGTGCTACCTCGGTACACAGCGCCCTACGTAGACTGTTGTTGAATCGAATTGTTGCTTGTGCTGATATCTGCTGGTTCATTTTAAAACAAAACTGCTTCCTTCCCCCACCCTGGCCCTCCTCCCCTGATCTATGCCTGAAAGCTAATTCCTGGTGACTTGCTCTTCCTATTTCGCAGAACGTACTTGAATCATTTGCGATGTTTCTGAATAAATCATTTAAACAAGAACGGAACTTGGTCTTTTGTGAAAGGCATTATTTGTTATTTCTCTATTTGTCATCATAATGTATCCTAAACTTAAATATTGAGTAGATTTTTAGTTTAGTCTTAACTGTGTATTATGTCCTTAAGCGTTCTAAAAATGTTTACGTAGGGAATACTATGTTTGGCTAAAGCTGATGGAAAGTAAAGAAGCTGAATTCTGCATATTTTTTTCCCCACTGATTCATCCTTAGCATTATTGATAAGATTAGGTCAGAGAGAGCTTTGTAAACAACAAGCAATTACAACATGTTTATATCACACTGCTGAGCTATACCAAAATGGTGGCACCTCCTCAGTTTGCAAAGTTGGACCATATTGTTCTGCTGACTAACATCTGGTTGACTCTTAAGCTGACTATTTTTTTTTACTTAATAAGTATATTCCTCGCTTCAGACATTTTGTTTTGTTATCCCTTTGATGAAGGAATGTTCAGTCTGTAGAGGTGTGTGATTAGGGGATTCATGTATGATTTGGAATGGTTCCTGAGGCAAACCCCAGCGTGATTTATCTCTTTGTGCGATTACAACAGGAAACATCATACCACAGTATAAAGGATATTTCAGGTCTGTTAGCCTATTGAGAGATTCTTTATAATATCCTACTTTGATATTCTTGTCTTTTTTTAAAAAAAAGTTGTTGTTGGTCTGACCATATGGGACTAGATGCATATAAAGACAGACCTGCTGTATTTCTGCCTATTTCTGTCCTGTTCTCCGCAGGTAACAGAATTGTATCTTTACTTTCATTCCGCATGGAGCAGGAGGTGTCATTTCTCCATCAAAATACTGGAGTGGCCTTGTTGCAAGACCAGCCTACTTCTGTTTTGTAAATGTCTGCCTTTAATAAGCTGAACTGTGGTGAATTATGATTTGATGGTGTTGGTCTAGAACATACTTTGAAAGTAATATTTATTAATCTTGAAATGGTTAAATCATTAGGGCGTTATAATATGCGTGTTATAATATATGTATTGCATCTTAATATATATCTTAGTAGAGCATGTAAACCTTCTGAATGAAAGTTCTTCTGTGGTAGGAGGGCTGCTCCAAAAGTAATGCCTCCTGTTTTTTTATGTTGGCCCACAACATCAGAGATGGCTATTGGTAATACGACTGAAGAGGTTGAACTTTCCTACCAGTATTCCCTTAAGTTTTGTTGCCATGTGACAGATGGCAGCAGAGGGGCAGTCTGGTAAAACAGTGTCTGACATGGAAGTGTGTCTGAAGCAAAGGTGTGGCATTGAATTCCTCCCTGCGAAAAATTGTGCCCATTGACATTAATCAACTCGTGCTGGATGTTTATGGAGACTAAACAGTGGGTATGAACACAGTGAGGCAGTGGATGGTATGTCTCAACAGGAGTGACGGTGGGTCACCTCCACTGATGCAGATGTTTGAATCTGGCATGTATGCTCTTGTTTGTTGCAGAGGAGAAGGCATAGCTCATAGTGGAGACAAAACTGAAAAAGAGTGTTTTGTAGCTGTGAAATTTCAGTACCAAATAGCATTGTTGTAGTTTCCATGGAAATTAATAGGAGGCATTAATTTTAGAGTGACCTACATAAGTAATGATTTGGTGTCTGATGATGGCAAAGTCCCTTAGGGCCTGTATCTTCCTGCCTTTCCAATAGCTTTCAGTGATGATATGTGGCTACTTGTTTAACCCATGCTTAATTTTGCTCCTAGGTACAACTTAAGGAGAACTTTTTGATCTGTGTAACAGCAAATGACTTCAAATTGAATTCTTTCCCTGCTTTTAGAAGGACTGTTATTGAGTGCTTTTTCTGTCAGTTGATTTCTGTATGTTCCAGCTGACAGATGTTCCAAAAGTTAAACATCTGTGTTCACTTGCTGGGAAAATTTCAGATGCCAGCATTTCAGAATCCCTTAAGATTCCTAATTCTTCATACTTTGTGCTGGCCAGTGGCAGTGAAGTTGCAAGGCAAGCAGCTTCTGTACTAGTGTATGGGTTGCTCCAGTTACACCTCAGTTTTCTGCATCACATGAGCACTTTTTGTCTGAGGTACTGGGATATGCTTGAGCTTATGAATTTTGAAAAGCAAGAACATGTTTTTAAATCTAATTTTTTAAATATGACTCAGCATAGTCAGACATTTTCTGTGTTTAACTGGTAGGTTAATTATTTTTAATCTTTCCCTTAGTGACCCTGGTGGAGGAATTGAGATGTCAGAGTTCATTCGAGAAGCCACTCCCCCTGTTGGCTGTAGTTCACGCAATTCTTATGCTGGAATAGATCCAAACAACCAGGTAAGAATTAAAGCATTTGCAGTTGTTGCTGCTGGCTTTGTGACCACTACTCATTGCTGATTTTTATTTTTAGTATTGTTCTTTTGATTGTACTAAGATCAGCAACTTATCTGCCTTATCTGTTGTATTTAATTGCTTTGTTTGGGATGGTGTTGCACGAGCTGTTCAGTTCCTGCTCATCCAGTCCTGTCTTCTAAGAACAGCTGGCTTTTACGAGGCAAACTACAGTCCCAGCAGGAAGTATTCGATTTCTGCTCAGCTTGCTTTCTTCTGATTTAGGAAGATGGCTCAGAACATGGTCAGATAAATAGTAAGACCTGCTGTCGCAGGCTTTTGTCTTCCCTTTTGTACCAGTGTGCCATTAGATAGAACACAGCTGCAAAGTCATGGCACAAACTAACTGTTTGATATGTGTCATTTAGGCACTTGATTGGTAAGCATCAGTTGTATTAATTTTGAGGAGGCTTCTGTTAACTCTTCTTGGGATGTATCCATCACTATCTCTTGCCGTGCTAAATGACTTTTTGAACATCATTATTTCTGATGATTCAGACTCTGCATTAAAAAAAAAAAAAAAAAGTTAATTTGCTGGAGTACAAAGATGGTTGAAATGGAAATAATAAAACTGTTAATCTTTAGATTACCTCTGCAAAATCTTCCCAATTTTGATGCCTCAGCAGGAGCAGGAGGAAGGCACTAAATATGGGCTGCTGTATTCCAGATGGAAGGGCTGAAGAACTTGCCTTTCTTGGATTGTAATACAGCTTCGTTATGCTCCGTTCATTTTGTGGTTTTGCTGGGAAGCTGTTCTGTTCCTTTATTATGTCTGCTGTATTTGACTTTTACAGTGCTGTATGTACTGTTCCTTTCATTTAGCTTGTGATGATTAGCCAGATATGGCATCCTTCTTTTACCAACTTATCAGAGGATGACTAGATCTGACTGTCCTGACTGTAAGGTTATGCTGCCAGAGAGCACTGCAGCATTCTGTTAAGGATACAGAAGCTATTTTTGGATGGAGGGGAAATCCTCGTCTTGGTATTATAACAAGTCCATCCGATTAGCTCTGTTGGCTAGCAGCATATAATGTAGTGCAGTGTTATGTTGGTGTTCTTGCTGTATAATGTCTTGTTATGCAGCATAGGTAGGGTTTGTAGTGTTCAAGGAATAGGAAGCGATGGTCCATGGAGGAGCAGGTTAGTAGACCAGGGCTCTTGTTTCTTTGAGACGCCTTTATTTAAGAGCATTTTCCACACCAAACTGTTGCAGTGTTAAAGCATGTGAAGGAGCTCCATACTCTATGCTTCATGCTTTAATGCAGTTGAAACTACTGATAAAAATTAGTGCTTGCTAGTTGCCTGTGATTGAATTTGAAGCATCAGCAGGGTAAGTGTACAGTAAGCAACTGAGTTCTTTTCAGTTTTCCTGTGCTGATACATTTGCATTCAGCTACAGCATCTGTAGACAGAGCGTATTGCTGAAGGTCAAAAAAAAAAAACTCACCAAACTTGGAAAAATTGCAAGATGACTGACAAAAGTGTGTTTGGCAGTGCAGTGAAGAAAATTAATTCAACAGGCTTTGATTTTTTTGTAGCAAAGCAGTTATGCTGCAGTCTGGCTGGGTAAAATCTTCATGTGTGTTCAGAGAATGTTAGATTTGTTATACTTACAGAGAGGAATTAGTAGAAATATGCTTTTTTTGTGTGTGTGTCAATTAAATTATACAGTAAAGCACGGTTGCCATCTTTCTTTTTTTAAATCTCTCAAGTTCATATTTTGCCTTTGAATGCCCTTTGCCTATCCTGTTTCTGAGAGATTTAATTACCTGTCAGTCGTGCTGGGTTTTTTGTGAGTTTTTTGAGGGAGGTGATGGTGGAAGTATTACTAAAGGAAAGCCTAAATTCTCTGCAACATCTCATCATAACATTTGCTAGAGGTTACAGAATGTACATAAAAAGGCAGACTAATCCTAAATGGCTATCAAACTCTTAAATGGGGAGGGACATCTGCTATTTGGCCATTGAACATGACTGAAAATAGATATTAAATAAAACTTGGAATATGATTGTAGCTAGTATCTAAACATAGCTCAATAAATACTTCAATTTACTTGCTTGGAGATGATTGTAGTCTATGTAATCAAACTGCTATTAAAAGAAAAATTGCACTAGCAGGAACAAGAGGGAAGAATCAGATAAAGGAAAATCACAGAGTCATAGAGTAGCTAGAGTTGGAAGGGACCTCAAAGATCATCTACTTCCAAACCTCTGTTGTGGGCAGGGTTGCCACCCACTAGATCAGGCTGCTCAGGGCTCCACTAAGCTGTTCTTGAATGTGGCTGTGGATGGGGCACGTGCAGCTTCTGGGGGCCTGTGCTAGTGCCTCACTGCCATCTGAGTAGAGAATTTTCTCCTGATGTCTAACCTAATCTCACCTCTCTTAGTTTAAAATCATTTCCCTTTGTCCCATTCACTATCAGACCATGTAAAAGGTCAGTCTTCATCTTGTTTATATGTTCCCTTTAAGTACTGGAAGGCTGGACTGAGATCTCCCCAGAGATTTCTCTGTGATGAGCAAGCCCAGTTCCCTCAGCCTTTCTTTGTAGGAGTGGTATTACAATGCTCTGAGTGTCTTTGTGGTCTCCTTTGGACCTGCTTCAACAGCTCCATGCCAATGATTAGGTTAAATTGATCTAAGCTTATTCAGCACGTCAACCAAGGGGAAGTGTGCTGCTGCCACTTCCCCTGTACTAACATGTAATGTCCTTGTGGTTTTCTAATCGTTGAATCAACTCTCTGATAGACCTCAAAGCTAACCCTGCTGAAAGCGTGCATCTCTTCCAAGGCAAACAACTTCTGGATTTAGCTTGGTATTTACTAAGTTGAACAGAATTTTTATATTAACGTGGTGTTTCCCTTAAACATTTTAGGCACCCATTGGTACTGCATTGAACATACAGCTTTATGGCAGCAGTTATTAGTGGATCACCACAGCAGTAGTTCATTTTCCCCATGAAGTATTTTCAAGGAAAATGTCCAGATTAGAAGCGGTGGCTTTTTAAATCAGTGGAGTGAAATGCCTAAGTGTGTTGGCCATAAAACAAAGAAATAGCAATGTAGTTGGATGCATAATTAGGTGCTTTGTCATCTGTTGGCAGAAATATTTTGAGGTAGAAATGACTTTACAGTGCTGTGGTATTGTTGGAAGCTTTCGTGTCTTTAAAAATATCCCTTAGATGTATGGACAAATGCATGCATTGCAGTTACAAAAAATACAGTTGGCTAATCACTGTAATCCAACAGCTTTTTACAAAATTCCCTGTTTCTAGGTTGGATCTGGATTATCTCGTCTGGGAACAGCAGCAACAATCAAAGGTGAGGTTTTTAGCTGCTTCTAAAAATTACATTGTGGAAGCATTTTAATAATATTGCTTACTATGCTGTTTCCAAATACTTCATCTTAAAAACTTTTTTTTTAAGATGACTTAATTTACTAGTGGGAGGAAATCCACCTTGACAGCTGGAAATGATGCATCTAAAACATTCAGAGAGTGCATTTTGGAGCATGTGCTATGTTTTCTGTACAGCATCTGTTATTTTTTTAATTGCTGAGCTGAGGGACTGGTTTGAGTGGACTTTCACTTATGATTTTGAGTCCTGTTTTAACCAGTGACTCTTCTGATACTGAGTTTCAGTGACTTGAGTATTTATGGTTACTTAGCATCAGGGATGTCTGGATATTGTCTAAGGACAGCCATTGTAAACTTCACTGGCAGGGAGGAGATGAATTATTTGTGATATGGAAAATTGCTATTTTGTATACTTATTAAGCTGATAATAAGAAAACTGATTTTTTTTTTTCCTACCATCCTCACTTTTTTCTTTGTCCATTTTTAATATTTATAAATATTTTGTTACAATCTACCCATCATTTTTATTGGCAGCCATTGCAAAAAGTAACATTCAAGTATATATCTCTAATTGTATTTTTTAAAAAAATCAATTTCATTGGGTTTTAAGATACTTCTACAGATCTTCTGTGGGAGATCTGTGTAGTTGAATGAAAACGTTCTTAGCACAAAATAGGTATATATGCAATATATACCTCAAAAACAAAAGATTAAATCTTGTGTAACTTGCAACTAGCATTGTCTGCCTTTGCATGAGGAAATAAGGGTAACAAGCTCTGTGACAGATGAGGAATCTTCTGTGCGTGTAGATCTGTGTGTTAATATTTTCAGCACTAGTACTGTTCTTTCTTAATATTTACAGGAGATACTGACACTGCCAAGACCTCTGATGATATCAGTTTAAGTCTTGGACAGAGTTCTAGCCTGTGTAAAGAAGGGAGTGAAGAACAAGGTAAAATTTCTTTTTCCTGCATATTAAACATGGTGTTTTGTTACAGTGACCCTTTGCTAAACAGCCTAAATACATTCATGCAGTTTCTTGATAGAATCTAAAATACTTTATCTTGAAGCTCTCTGTTTCTTTTCTTAATTACTTTAAGTTCCTGGGATGCATAGCTTGAATCCTTCTATCTTTATTCTTGGGTTGCATGTTTCCTGCTCTTGCATTTTCCAGCAGGTGATAAATATTTACTGTATTGTCTCCTTGCTGCTGAAGGATAGCTACCTTGTGTGTCTGTTAAGTAGTTTGTTATACTGAAAATGATGTGGAATTCAGGGATTTTGTTGTTGACTACTTTGCTCTGCTTCCCATTGCAGCCAAATGATGTTTTCTAAATAGGTGTGCTATTCTGGTAACAGGCCTGCACAGAATGGTTTTTCTAGGCTAAGGACAGTTTCCAGTACTTGAGCTAACACAGTTCCTGTAGTTGCTTTTTCCTAATCTGTAAGGAAAATGCTAGCTTGCATTCTTCATTCTTCCAGTTTTGTTTCAGACTTCATTTCTCATTTAGCTTTGTTGCCAGGAAAAAAAAATCTTCTCAAACTAAAATAAAATGGAGCATAGCACCATAGGGAAATCTTTTGTTTCCTGATTTTTTTAAAGTATCTGATGATTAACAGGAAGTTAACTCAAAAAGTAGAGTAGTTCAATTTGGCAGGTCTAATTTGTCTGTTAGATTCCTTAAGTGTATTCAGTGATGACAGGCAGTGATACAATGCAGAAAGTATATCTACGATGTCGCATCACAGGCAGTGGTGCTGTTGTAATAGGCAGCTTCCTTCCACTTCATAATGGAGCTGTTTGCTAAATCTTCTAAGTTACATGTGGTTATAAACCTTACCAAAAATTAGCAGTTGTACTAACTTAACCTCATCTCTGGATTTTTATTTATTTATTTATTTATTTTGACAAAATGTAAAGGAAAATAGCCTGACTCTCAACTTCCAGGTGGACCCTTGTACAGGAGAAAGCTTGTGATGGGTAATGGAAACAATGATCCTGAACAAGAGCTGATAGCAGATCCTTGGGACTTGCTTTCACGGAGCCAGTGTTAGAAGTAGGATATCAGTTTTGAAAGGGCAGGCAACATTTGTTCTCTTCATCAAACCGTAATTCAGCACTGTCTGAATTAATCTCAGTAACTTCCTAAAGAGTTCTGTTATGATTTTGATGAAACCCACAAGTTTATAAGGTATGTGTTAGGTGTGGTATATATTTTTTGTTTGTTTTTGTTGCCCTCAGAGTTGAGGGGAGTTATTTTCCTTAATCAGCGAAGATTTCTGTGAAACAGTTTACTGCCTGCAGGAGGTGAGACAGAAAGCAGAGTCAGGGGAACATGTATAAACCTTGAGACACATTGAGCAAGAAAAGAGGTTGTGGGCTAGTTGGAATTCTTTTTGTCTTCTATTACCTACTAAGATTTAGCTGCTGCTTTTTTTTTTTTTTTTTTTTTTAAAGCATAATGGCTGTCAGACTTGTCTGGACATTAAGAAGTTTTTTTAAATTGTGATACAAAGCATTGTCCTTGCAAATTCATTTGTTTTTAAAAAGCATTTGAGAAACAAACTATGAATTGTAAATATTCTTGTAAAATATTCATATAAATATGTACTTCAACAGATTTGGCAACTGATCGGAAGCTTTTTCGTCTGGTGTCGAATGACTCGTTTGTCTCCATCCAGCCTTCACTATCCTCTGGACAAGATTTGCCACGAGACAACAGTGATAAATTGTGCCTCTCGAACAATCAGCTTGTGGACCAGTCTAAAGCTAATGCGTGTGACTCAGAAGTAGCTTCGCTTATAACTCTGCATTCTCACTCCTATAGAAAGGATCACAGACCACGAGGGGTACCAAGGACTTCTAGCTCTGCTGTTGCTTTTCCAGATGCTTCACTGAATGACTTCCCTCTTTATCAGCAAAGGCGAGGACTAGATACTGTCAGTGAGTTAGAAGCTTCTAAGCCCCCTTCTGGATCTAGAGAGTCCTTGGCTGAGAACTCTTGCATTTCAGGAGTTTTTCAGTTGGATGACATTCTGAAAAGTAGCAGCCCTCAACCACTGGCTAAGAGTGGGAAGAGCAAATCCTTGAAAGCAGACAAAAGTGTGGACAGTCTGAGAAGCCTGAGTACTAGAAGCAGTGGTTCAACAGAAAGCTACTGCAGTGGGACTGATCGTGACACTAACAGTACCATCAGTAGCTATAAAAGTGAACATACTAGCTCTACGCATATAGAAAGTGTGCTGTCAGAGCATGAGGAGGAGTCTCCTAGAGAAGAGAAAAAGGATGGTAAGAAAAAAGACTGTGGTGTTGACTCAGAGGATGACAGTAGTTCTACTACTGACAAAAGGACTAGTAGTGAAAGGACTGCTGTGGAAATGAGTTCTATTAGTGGTGTTCAAGAGGTAAAGGGTTCTAATGCATCCAATGAGATGCACAGTCAGAAGGGTCTTAGTGCCTCTGCTTCGGAAGAGGCCAATAAAAACCCACATGCCAATGAACTGACTACACAAGCTGACAGGCCACCTGGGAAGGCTGCTGAACAAAGAGATGAGCAGAGTGAGAAAGTAGTTCTGTTGTTAGATTCAAGAGCTTCTAAAGAAACTAGTGGAAAACAAAAAGAAGGAGATGTTCGACCCAAATCTTCTAGCTTAATACATCGAACAGCCTCTACCCACAAGTCCAGCCGAAGACGGACAGGAAAAAAGCGGGCTAGTAGTTTTGATTCAAGTCGGCACAGGGAATATGTTTCCTTCAGAAGTGTATCTGGTACTAAACCCCACAGTGCCGTGTTTTGTCATGATGAGGACTCCAGTGATCAAAGTGACTTAAGCAGGACGTCAAGTATGCAGTCAGCTCATCAGTTCAGCAGTGATAGCTCTTCCAGCACCACATCCCATTCATGCCAGTCTCCTGAGGGAAAGTACAGTGCTCTAAAGACCAAATATGTTTCTAAAGAACGTGGGGGCGCAGACTCTGAAAATATTCATAAAACCCACGTGAGCTCTGAAGGAATTAGCAAAAAACGATCTACACGTCGGACTTCTAGCACAAACAGTGCCAAGAATCGTGCCAGAGTACTAAGCCTGGACAGTGGTACTGTAGCTTGCTTAAATGATCCAAATAGTTTAATGACACCAGGTAACATAAAACAGTTAACCACTTCAAAATCTGATTTGGAAGCCAAAGAGGGAGAGGTGCTAGATGAGCTATCTCTGCTGGGAAGGGCTTCACATTTAGAGTCAGTCACTCGTTCTAGGAATAGCTTACCAAGCCAGGCTACGTTTCCTGAAGGGGAAGAGCAAGAATCAGCAAGTGGAGGTAAGTAAATGACCTGCCAGAAGTAACCTTGCCACACTTTGTTAATGAATTGAGGTATGCTTAAGTGTCTTCCTGTATCTGTTCTTGCCAGTAAAACACTTCCAAAGCATTTCAATCATCCTCTCATGGAAGATCTGCAGAAACGAGTGCTGAATTCAAACAGATGTTATGAAGTACTTAGGTAGACGTATCTGCTGATTTGTTACTGGCAGTCTCTGTTAAATTCGGGCTGTATCTGATAGTTAATATTTGTGATCAAATCAGACTTACTGTTGTATTAGTCAAAATTTTCAATTTGCATACTATACAAAAAGTTAACAGCAGAATTGGGACTGTTTGTGGTTAAAAGATTGTGCAGGTTAAAAAACGTAAGATGGGATTGAAGCAACTATTGCCTCTTAAATGAACTCTTATCAGGTGAACGAACTCAATAAGTGTGATATAAAAAAAATGTCCTTGCAATACTATCTTCAATTGTGCTTTCTCATGATGATCTAACTACTAAACTGAGTTCTTCTAGGGATTTTTTTTTGCTTAGCTTTGCCATTGTTCAAGTTGGCTGTGCAGTGTTGTTTACTTACAGATTCTTTGTTTTGTCCTCATTATGAGAACATGCTTACCTTCCTGTGCTAGAGAGAGGAGTGTAGTTTCCTCTTTCTGTAACTATTGCTTTGTTTCGTGTAATGTAAGACCGAGTTTACTCACATAGCTAGCATTAATATAGATTAACAAGGGCATTTTTTCATTTTCTGCAGCTCTTGATAGTTTGTTTATCACTTGTCATAATGTTTCAGTCTCATTTTGTTTAGCCAGATTGACTGCCTTAACTGGAGGGCTCTTCATGTTGTGGAAGATAAGTGGGTTTAAACTGTTTTTGAAGGTGTTATAGGTTTAACAACTACCTCATTCTCTGACATTTGTTGAAGGAAAAACTATGAAAATGCCTAGATCTTGTTAACTAAGGACTCAAATGTTTCATAAGTTGCCTTTACATAAGGGCAGCAATATTGTAAGAAATTGTAGCAAACTTAGTCTGAATAGTAACGACAGTAAAAGCGTAGTGTCTCTGACATTGTAAAAGAGACTTCAAGTCACTAGGAGCTGAAACTTGCTAGATCTTTGCTAGGAGCTTGCGGTTGGACTCGATGATCTCTGGAGGTCCCTTCCAACCCCTGCAATTCTGTGATTCTGTGATACAGTTCTGTGAAATGTGACCAATGAATGGTTCTTCTCTTACAGTGGCTTAAGAGCAAACTCTACTCAATAGAATTACTTCACGGAAAACCACATTTGTGACTACTGATTGAATTTGACTGGTTTACAGTTAGCTCACAGATATTTAGATGCTTCCATTAAAAAAAAAAAAATAAAAGGGATAGTGGAAACTTAATGAAGCTTAATGTGTGAGTACTTTGTTATTCCTAGTCAGAGAGCTTTGCAGTAGTATTTAGTGAAAAGTTCCATTTGCTAGCTTAGTGCTTACTCAGGGTTAAACACTTAATGCATTTTCATATTACACCTTGTTAAACTGATAGCACTTAGTTATTTGACTAATAAAAGGTCTGCTTTATGTATTTATGGTCTTGAATGTATGCTCTCATCAGCCCACAATTTCACTTTGATTTATTATATCTTAAAACTGTTTAGGTTCTTTACAGACATGCAGACGATTCGTGTACCTTATTTTATAGAACGTAGTAAACTTCATTCAGTCGTCAGTAGAAGATGAAAGAGTCAGCGCAGCGTTGATTGGCATATATTGCTAAATATTTTGATCGGTCTTTTAATGAGTGAAATAGCAGGGAAGAGCAAACTTGAACGTGTCTAACTTCAATCTTAGAGATACAAAATGTATAGAGCAGCCTAAGCAGGGGAGTCTTGCTGGTATTTGCATCAAAATGTTCAGATTCTTCTTTGAACTTTGTTTAGATAATGGTCATTCTGAAGTTGCTGGTATTTTCAGTAAATGGAGAGCACCCAACTATTACTTACCCATGAGCTTATGGGCTGCTTTTGAGAAATGATCTGGATTCAGGGTCTCCAGACCTGATAATGACATCAAATTCTCAGTAACAGTTATCCTCTCTATCCCAGGAAACATTTCCTTTATAAGAAATGAATGTGATTGTTTTTTTCTGGAGGGGGCAGGGTTTTGTATGTGTTCTTTCCTGAACACTGAACAAAAACATTTACTTTTGTTTTGCATTACTTAATATTTATGCAGTCACGGCTACCATCAAGACAGTAGCTTAAATTTATCTGTTCCTGGGCTATCTGAATAATTCCTTCCTATTGTGCTTTGTTTCTGTGGGTTTGTTTTGGAGCTATGTTTTTGTTTGTGTTTTTTTGGTTTTTTTTTTTCCTCAACGTAGAGAACTTCTGAGTTCTATGATGGCTATATCTTAAGATCAAAGAAGAAAACAAGGCTTGACTATGGTTACTGTTTATCAGAAAATGTTGTAAATTTGTAGAATCGAAGTTACTTCATAGTATTTCCCACTATTGAGTTGACTCAATGGTGACTCAATTTGGGAGTGTTTTTTTTTTAACATGTAGTGTAAATAAGCACTGTGTATTTGTATATATAGAAGCTATCTGAGAAAACTAAGACATTATTACGTGAATTGTGGAATAAGCCTGGTTCAGATTTTCCTAAAATCACAGGATATTGATTGGCTCTGACTTGCAAGTTCTCTAGTGTCATTTCCTGCTGAAAGTGTTACTTAATTTTATGTAAAAATATTTTTGAATTTTTATGGGTTGCTTATGACAGCTTTCTGAAAAATCAGCTGGTTCTCCAGTGTGCATCTGGAGAAAAATTTATACCCTTTTCCAGTCAACAGCTTTAAGTTCCTCGTTTTCAGATAAGGTGTAAGTGAAATGATGATTAATGACTCTATATTCAGGTCTCCAGGGAAGTAACTGAGAAGTACATTCTTATATGAACTGTGAAAACGTGTATTGCTTAGTATTCTCTTACTAAGCAGGATGCTTTATGAACTTCTACTTGTGTTTCTTCGACAGATAGAACTTAGTTTGATTTTAATATTATTATGGCAGGAAGTGGTGAGTGACTCATTTCTTATGAGATGATTACTTGTGCATTTGAGTAAAAATTGCAGTTCATCAAAATGCAGACAAACAGCATTTGGAAATTCTGTACTTAATTAAGTATTTTCAGTGTGGTGCATGTATAACCAAAATTAAATGGAAGATGTCATATACTACCATCACTTTCTTAGCTACTCTTGCAGGCTACTTAGTGACTGGTGGGTTATGGGTTAGATGTGGAGTTGTCTAACTGTGTCTGGTGATATTCTTTGGAAATACCGCCTTGATACTCTGGTGTGCCTGGCTTCTGTCAAATACGTGCTATTTCAGTATTGCTGTTTGTCAAGATTTAAAGAACCAACTTAATTCTGTACGTGGCACAGTGGTGTTTTGTAAAACTTGAGCTGACCTGAAAAGTCATGTGCTCTCTTCCAGTCTTTATTACCTGTAAAAGACACACCCTTTAAGATGCTGCTCTTTTACACTTGCTATAATTTAACAAATTAATTTATTTAATCAATTTAAGTACTTGAGGCTTTTGTAAATAAAATTGTTGTGTGACACTTTTCCTGCTGTATGTTGCATATTGTTACGAAGTAACAGCTCATCCTGTTGTTTTCTGGCCTATAATACATCACTATAAACAGGCAAAATAGGTTTTTGTGAGCTTGGATTAGAGTCTTACATTTCATGTAGCATATGGAAACCTGTTCAGCTTCTCAAGTCTGCATGTGTTTGTACATAGATGCTTTGTGTATCTGCATGCGAGGATTGGACAGAATCTGAAGCTAAAAACAGAATTTGAGACTGGTGCTTTGTGGCAAATGGTCATGTCTGCTGTTACCAAAATACCACTTTTTTTACCTACTATGCTTATGTCGTGTAAGGTTCCAGTGATCTGAAGTCATTGCTGTTCTTTGTGTGACAGAGCTGTTCCATGCTTCTGTTGGGTTGCATCAATGTAGAGTTAAGGCAATGAAAGCTGGTTCTGTTTTCTGAAAATGAATCCATGCTCCAGATGTTCAGCCAAACAGTTTTGCATGGGGAAGAGAAATCAAACTCTGATAAGTTTAGAAATGATAGACTGCGAAATGTGCACTGTAAATGCAGTCTAGTTGTGCGTGCATGCCTGCACACAAGCTGTCTTATTCCTGTGTTCTGCAGGACTCTTCTACAACTGGATCAAAATAAGCAGGGTAGCCAGCAGAAAAGGGCTCTTCTGCATATGAGGTTCATTGTTAAAATCAAGAAACTCTTCTCTTTCTTGATTTTTATTTATTTATTTATATATATATATATTTTTTTTGTATGCCAACTAGTATCATGCTATGGTGTGCACAGCGTTTGGATCAAGAATGAAATAGAAGTTTTAATGTTAGCCCTTATCAATATTTGATTCTGAAAGCATAATTTTTGACTATCACAGATTCAGTGTGCAAGAATGTAAAGACTAGTTTTTACAGAGATATCTCCCGAGTTTTGGATCCTGCGTCATCTGAGTCGGGCTGAGATGCAATATTCATCACTTAACGATGAGAACAGCATGGGGAGCAATAGACATGGCTGGAACGCAGCTCTGCAGTCTGTATTTCTGGAACTTGCCACTGTAGTGGCACGTAGAATAAATCTTGCATTTACAAAATAGCTCATCAATAACTACTACAGCAAAAAGCTATTTCTGTATATCTTGCGTGGAACTTTGTCCTACTTGTTTTGCCCCCTCTCTGGTATTTATGGATAACACAAGGACTGTCGTTAGAAGGCTTATGACCGCAGCAACGCTGAGCTTTCCTGAATTTCATTGTTCCAGAGGGATGAGAGCAAGAACAAAAACAAAAAAACCACAAGTTTTGTCTGACTCCTAGCAGTGGCTGCTGAGACCCAGGGATGTGTATAGTTGCCAAAAGCCCTTAGTACTGTTAGTAAAGGTCTTCCTGCTAATCTAATGG